ATGAAAACCTTTGTACACTGATTGATACCTGGTAGCATGATCAGTGTTGCCCCCTCCAGTTCCCTGGTTTTGTATTTTTAACACTTTGATCTTTCCTCCTTTTTTTCTTTCTTCATTCTTGTTCTTTTTTCTCCAAGATACTTTTGTTTTCACCAAGCCTCTCTGTCTTTCCCCCCCTCTAAAAAGACTGGGGACATTTCAGGTTTGGGTTTTTTTTTTTTTTTTTTTTTAGTGCACAGGTTGATAAATAATAGGAAAACCAAAATTGCCAGGGACCAAAGATGGACAGGTAGGCAGAAGTCAAAACATTTATTATTATAACAAGCAGTATTCAAGTATTCAGATGTGTCTGGATATGTTCTGTAAAGTTTTGGGCATTGTCGCATTTAAGCACAGCAATTCCTTTTCCATGTGACCACTAAAGGTACACAAACATATTTCCTAAGGATACCACCTTCTCAAAATGATCAATACATTGCACTTTTTGTCTCTGTAGGTTATATTTTTGAATATTCCAATGTCTGAATGCATATTTTTTCAAATTAATTCTTCACACAGTTTTTGCAAAGATATCTGCTATAAAATATTATCCTTCCTTGGACATTATCATTGCTTACAGAATTGAGAGAAAACCTAAAGATAGRAACAAGAAGTGTTAGCAGTTGAWTTTTTTTTTTTATTTCCRTGGGCAGACATCCTTTCCCTTCAGGACTTGCAGGCCAAACATTTCTAGGCAAATTAAATTGGTGCTAGAACACAGCATTGTAGTAGGAGTTGGTTTCATCCTTAATCACAGAAAGGCTACTGCCTCCTCATATTACCATAGAGATGTCGACTGCCTTTGATTCTCTGCTGAAWAGTGCTCTCTCTAACTTACATATTGTTTGGCATGCAGGATCCTTTGAACACATCTCCATAAAAAAAAAATAATTCTTACTTTGCTTCCAAGTCAAATGAATTATATATGTTTAATGCMGAAGATGTAGCCATGGTGTAAATGTCTGTTTCTGAAGTACTTCAGATATCATTCCAGAATGTTACCAGTAATTTTAGATCTGATGGTTTGTCTCTTAGGTTTTCACAAGTTTTCTTTGTAAATTTATGTACAAGATACAAATAATAGTGTCATTGAAGTGTTTAATCTAAAAAGCCAGATAATAATAAGTCAAATGTTTTACTGAAGTCTAATTAAATTACATCAATAAGTGAAACCTGCAGCCTCATTAAGAAAGCAAAGTCTGCTTGCAGGCACTATTTTTCTGCCAGGATATATAGATTTTTTAGCAGAAGCCCACAGTAATTGGAAATGTCTTTCTTCTTTTAAATTATCTGTTAACTGAGTTAACAATATTGTCTATTCTGTATTTTGCCTGATCAGTGTCACATTGGTAAACTATTATTATCCCATTCGTTCTTTTAAGGCATGAGAACAATACTAGCTTCATCCTTCTTAAAAAAAGTCTTAGTGTTCAAGAACTTCTGAATATGAATTTAAAAGACATGTTCATTGCAAAAGTTTTTATGGCAGTTTTCTTTCAGTAATTGAACCATTCACCATTATCMTTTGAATAAAAAACAACTCTTCAATACTTACAGCATAGTTACATCAGCTGCCATCTTCCCAAATGGACAGAACAAATTTGAACATTAGGATTTGAAGTTTGTTACTGATTAAGTTTAAAGTGCTCATCCTCATCTCTTAATAGGTTCTTTTCATTATTCAGATCTTTCTCTGTATTCTATACTTCCAAAAACCTTCCATTTTCCTCACTTTAACGCTGTTGACCGTATGTATATTTCCTGTGTAATCTTTTACTTCCCACAGTACTTTTCTACAATTCCTAGTTCAGCATACATGTATGACTCCACATTCGTTCTTCAGTTTCACAGACGATTGCCTTGCAAACYATCCTGGCTTTTTACCAAACATATTCCTTATTTGTGGTATTATGGCTGTGTGGGTACCTACACTATTATCCTTAAACCACTTCCAATTACTATTCCCCACCTTTAGATTAAATTTCTTCTCCCTACAGACTTACTTTAGGTATATGTATTATTGGCTTGGACTTAATTCTGTTTGTACGTAACAAATGTGATAAAATCATTATCAGCTGCACCTAAGCTATGGCTAATCTTTATGTCTGCGATCAATTCCTTTTCATCTGACAAGATGAGGGCTAATATAGAATTCCTCTGTGTTGGCTGCAACTTTTTTGGTTAGGAAATTGACATTTTAAATATTTTGAAATTCCAACTACCTTTAAACACTGGCAGCATGAGACCTTCAGCATGTCACTCAGACTGAAATTCACTCAATACAGTAGTGCTTTCCCTATATGTTGTAGGGAGGGCAAGGCATAGGTCATGCTGTTCTCTAGTGTGATTTGTTACCAGCTAAGTACACTGTCAGCTTCTAACTTCTCTGCTAGAACATTGACCCATGAACATTCAAGATCCTTTGTTTCCGATGGCTATCAACTTAGAAACAGGTAGTGCCATTTTTGAAGTACTTTCTGTCCACTTGATCCTTCCAAAATAGATTATAGCAATTGATTCTGACATTCCTGTTTTCCAAACAGTTGTAGCAATAAAAACTAGGTCAAATCTGTGCTAAAAAATGATCTCCTGCTGGTGTCGAGCTTCCAGCAGGAAAAGAGCAGTCACTGAAAAATCTCTGCTCTTTTTATTCTGTAACTTCCCAATTGGGTTTCTCTTATAGTTTTCATTTGAACTTAGCAAAAGCTCATTGATTCCTTCTCAATATTTCCATTTCTGACCAGCACCCAGACACCCTAGCAGGCCAGCCCCTTACTTTGTTACAGTAAATTAAGCAGCAGGCTTTCATCAACAGAAAGTGATGACATTTTCCACAAACCAAATGCCTTCGTGTTCTGTCACTTACTCAGARATTCAGTCTAATATTTTTTTCTAGTTGCTCTTTCCCTTTGCTCAGAAGTCCTGATGTCAGAGAGGATCAAAGGTCCTGGAAGGATGGAGAGCAAGATAATGAAGGGACTGGAGCATCKGTCTGACAAAGAAAGGCTGAGGGATCTGGGCCTGATTGAGTCTTGAGAGGAGATGACTGAGAGGGGACCTCTGTCAGTGTCTRAAGGGGGAGATGCCAAGAGGATGGACCGGGCTCTGCTCAGTGGTGCTGAGCAACAGGACAAGAGGCAGTGGCAGAAACTGAGTCCCAGGAAGTTCCACCTGAACATGAGTAAGAACTTCTCTATTGCACAGTGACCATGCACTGGAACAGATTGACCAGAGAGGTTGTGGCCTCCCTCACTGAGATATTCATGCATCATCTGGACACAATCCTGTGCCGTGTGCTCTGGGGTGACCCTGCTGGAGCAGAGAGGTTGGGCCAGGTGACCGACTGTGTTACCCTCCAACCTGACTCGTTCTGTGACTCTGTGAAAGAAGAAAGCCTGCTCATGGGAGGTGTCCATCTCCCATCTGAGAAACTGACCACTCTTCCTCAGGTAACCATAGATCCTGGCTCTTTGCTTGCCAATTCAGAAACCCGCTCAGCTTTCAGGGATGCTCCGGTCCAAGGCAGCTCGTTCGGAGCTCACCTGAACTGCAGGAAATCACACCAGCACCTCGGGCTGTGTGRATTTCTCACAGCCCCTCTGTTTTCCAGAGCCTAACCCGGCCTCGCTGCTCCCCGAGCCCGCCGGGAAGGGCCGGGATGGTCCCTGACGGCTCCCGGGAGCCCGGCCCTCAGCGCTGCCCCGCCACAGTTCCGCCCGCCCCCGTCGCCATGGCGAGGCCGCGGCGTCCGTGAGGGGCCGGCCCGGCGGAGAGAGTCCTGCGGCCGCGCCATGGGCCCAGGTCTGTKCCCCGGGGAACTCCGGCTGGTGGGGCTGTATATTTGATTGGTAACAGAGCCCAGGCTCGGGGTGTGTAGCGTGATAGGTGAAGGGAAAGCCAGGTGACAGACAGGCAGCAGCAGAGGGCCGGTTGTATTCCCAGAGCCAAAGGGACGGAGGGCATGCAGGATACGGGTCAGGCTGGGGCCATGATCTCGTCCAGGTTGCTTGGAACTAATTGCATCTATCACACTGGCTACAGTTTCAACAATTTATTATTCGTTTGTTTGTTTGTTTGGTTGTTTGTTTTTTTTAAATCAATCTACTCTGTTACTTTCAGTGTAATAGTGCAGCGTGCCGGTAAGTCTTTCCTGTCACACTCTGACGTCCCTTTATCTTACGAGGGGCCAGGTAGCAGCCTATATGCCTGCAAAGACATCCGCGTGTCATGGCCATCCCTGTTTCCTCGCCTGCTTCCCTCCCTGGGAAATCCTCTGCCTCTGTTAGTTCTGTGCATGCCTCAGAAAGTGTCTGGGAAGGGCTAAGAGGTGGCCAACAGGTTTCCCAAAAGGTGCTGGGAAAGGCACCATTGCAATCAGTTGGTGTTTTATCTTCAGCTTCAGTGCACCTTGGAGTAATTCCAGTCCATGAGGAGGTTCCCTCCATCATGGGATTAAATCAAGCACCTCTTTAGAAACAAACTGCACCAACTCATCTTTCACTGAATTAAGTGGGTGTTTGGTTAAGTAAACAGCTTGGGCTGTATAATAAAGGAGCTAGATGTGAAGTGTCCTTTAAATGATCAGCAATGAATTTGATGTCATCGAAATAGTACTGGTTTCAGAGGGGTRTGTTGTTGGTGTATTCTGTCATGTGTCTGTTGTTATAATTTACCTGTAAGAATCARAGTTCTCTTGGAAATGAGGGAAATACACCCTCTATTTCACTCTGAAAGCAACCTCCCACCTCTAAAGTAAAAGTTCAATTTGCATTATTGAGAAGCAGTTTTGTTGTGTTTTTTTCTCCCAAGCTTTGTGTTTGAAATAAGAGCCAGGGCAGTATTTTAGTCCCTGTGAAGCTGAAACATACTGAGAAAAATGTCTGTCTATGTGCCTCATGTGAGACCTGTTTGCCTGACTGTCTGTTTTCCCGCAGGCTTGATTTCTGTGAATTGGGAACGAGGAGTGTGTGAGCCACCAAGGAGTTGTCATATGCTCTAGCCAGGTGCCTTGTGGCAGTCCCCAAATAACAACTTTTCATGGTTGCAGTGTCTCCACCAGCCAGCTGCTTCCCCTTTCAGCTGCTTCCCCTTCCCTTTTCTGCCCCATAGCTGCAGTCACCCCTCCAGCTTTGCTGAATCCATCGGCTGCCAATGAGGTATGGCTTTGTTCATTTCCCTGCTTAATACCTCATAACAAAGAAGTTTGTAGAAAGTTTTGCATCTTCTGTGGTCTTCAATATCGTTGTTCCAAAGTTGAATTACTGTTTCTCACTGAATCGCATCTTCTTAAAAATGGATTTTCCTTTCTATATAGTTTTTATATAGAAATCTGTCTTTCTCCGTGAGAAGTATAATCTTTTATTGCAAAACCTGGGTGTTTTTATTATATTGATTTTTTATTTTCCAYGACGCATTTATCTTAAATTTTGCTGCCTCTGACTGCAAATCAGTTTATTTATAAATAATACCTTTTTTCTTTCTGTAAAAAATGTTATCATTAGTACTAGACCCTAAAAGAATGACTGAAGAGAAATATCCTGTCATCTTTTCAAACTATAATTCTCCTTATTATTCAGTTCTAAGTAACACAATTTAAAAAATTACTTCACTATAACCACAGCAAAATACTGCCTCAATGAAGTGGCTTTTGATCCCGGAAAGGCTAATATATAAAATATCTACTGGTCTGATACTGATCGTTCAGCAACAAATTGACTCATATCTAATACTTATCTCCCAAGAAATAAATTTCCTTTTGCTAAATGTAGCAAATAGTTAAATTCTTTTTCCCCTTCTTATTATATTCTGTTTTTCCATCCCTATTAAAAGTTTATGCCTTCAGGCCTACCAGCAGGGCATGCAATACCTACATTAAACCAAATTTAAAAGTAAGGGTGCTCCTGCTGCTAACGTTCTCAGATCACAGACATGCAAAATGAAGGAACTGGCAGCTGAAACTTTAATGGTAGGAAGTGTAGACTGAATACTTGGGGAAAAAACACAGTAGCTCTATATGACAAAAAAGTCCTATTAGCATTTATGTACTTCAAAATGACAAGCTAGACGATTCTACATAACTGTGGGGTTTTTGGCTTTTGTATAAGTAACATCCTGTGTTGTAAGTGTAGCATTACTTACATTTTTTCCTTCAAAAGATTGTTGCTATTGTGATTATGTAGGATTCTGAATGTTAACACAGTGCCTGTCATTGCTTTGCACCCTGTATATACCATCATTTGTCCACATTGTGTATTCATTTAAAATATTATSAATAATTGGACCTAAATAGCTCAAGGAAGCACAGGGTGTGGATACTGAATCAATCCCTGTACAAATCAAAAGCACCTCAATGAAAAAGAGAAATCCATGGAAAGTTCAATAACGACCATTCCTTTGTGTTATGTCCCACTGATGTAATGCTGAGATTCATGTGGAACTGGATTTGGGTTTTAATGTAGTGGAATTAACAGAGAGTGGAGTGGAAGCAGTGCAAGAAGAAAAGGAAATTGCATTGCTGTAACAGAGTTGTTTGATGTAATGTTGGTTTTGTTTATTTGTTTTAGTTAAAATGAATGTGCTGCCTCAAGCAGTTCTRCAAAGCCCAGGGGAGCATCCCAAGTTCATAGAGCAGACTCTTGGCCCCCCATTAGACTTTGCAAGGTAGGTACCTCTTCTCTTTCAAAGCATCATTTTTGCTGTGAACAGCTTCAGTCAGCTATGCCGAGGTGACAGATTATGTTTGCTCTTTTGCAATATTTAAAACTACAAAAATCAGAGGCAAAGAAATTCTCTCTTAGGAAAAGTTCCACAATTAAAAGGGAAAAAAAAAGGCATCCATTGGATTAAAATGGATTTCTCTTTGAAAACTGAATGATTTAAAATAAATACATTTTATCAAGTACAGTGAGTCATTATGGAAAACTGGAGAAATAAGGATAAAACAGCTTGAAAAAAGCAACTGAAAACTTCTGGAAGAAAAGAAACAGTGTCTTTTAGCAAGTGCTGTCCTCACCTCAATTCTGTATGAAAAAATARTGTCCATTCCAAATCACAGTTTCTTTTCTTCACGTTGATTAATTAATTAATTAATTTTAATGGTTTTTATTCTCATTGCCTATAAGAAGCCATTTTAAATAATGATTTTCTTGAGTTGATRGAATTTCCTAGTGTGTTTTTTCCTGAGTATCACCTGCCTGTCTTATTGTTATTGTCTGTGTTATTGMTACATTAACATCATTGCTTATAACAGCCAGGATGACACCAGTATTTATTATTCTTAGTAAATTTAATYCTTTATGATGGATAACCATGTTTATAGTTGCATGAGTCCAATACAGATTATTATGGGACTTATGTAAACAGTAATTAGTTTGCAAGGTTTTGCTTATTTTCTTTCCCTCGGCTGTAGTTTTTTTTAAGTTTGAGGGTGTTACCAATAAGAAGTCAGAAATTTATACTTTGGCTATAAGGCAGCTGGCATTTTAAGTTGTATATAATTCTAAGGGCTTTTCCCCTGATTTTTTTTTTTTTTGTTGCTTTTTATATTTATTACAATAYCTTGTAATAAAGATAATGGAAAGCCATCAGGCTTTCCTATGTTTCACTTTGGGATGGTTTTTAAGTGCTATATAGATTAAATTGCAGCAAGCTGGTAAGAATTTGCCTGTTGTAGTTCACTGTTTCAGTTTGGGAGTTTGACTTTCTCTCCCCTGTTCCAAATATTTGGTGTTCTCTATGTGCTACTGATGAGCAGAAATTTATTTTTTACAGTCTTAAAGTACAAAGGTCAGCCAGGGTTTTTTTGTCTACTTGATGCTTCGTATTTATTTGTCCAAAGATACTGTATTTCAGTTTTTCTATTACCTCATATAAACCTATAGCATTTTGAAATATGTTTTACATCAGTTTAAAATATACATTAATTATCTTATTTTCATTATCCTAGAGACATTGTGTCTTCCTAAGTTATGACTATTTTGGTATGAAATTTTTGATGTTGATAATAAACGAATTTTATGGCATTATCTGTAAGGTGTACATTTAGCCAGAGTAGCAGCAACTCCTATGGATTGTGTTAAGTGCAGCCTGGAAGCACAAACCTCTGCTGGTGCCACTCAGCTGCAGCAAATTCTGGAACAAATTTAAAGACACTGTTTGTGAGSGAAGTTTTCACTGCTACGTTGTTTTAAATATGATATGTCAAAATATCTCTGCTTTGCTTATCTATTTTGTTTTCATTTAAATGAACTTCATGAAGTGTCTTTGGTATTCTCAGAGCAATAAGGAGCATGACGCTTATATTAGCTAACATTATGAAAAGAATTTACTCTTATCACTGTAATGAAAGGCAACAGTGTAATACAGACAGAGAAAGAGAAAAGTAATGGATTTATGTGGAACACTAATGCTGAATTTCTTTTATCTTTGAATGATTAACCAGACAATCTTTATGCTCTTTTTCAGAAGAATAAAAATAAATTCACATTACTTTTATAAAGATAACATCCTCTACAGTCAGGATATCAGATTCTATTTAAATATACTTTATGGTCACTAAGTGCATATTACACTTTCAAGGCATCTTGGTGTATCAGAGTGGAGATGCAAAGATATGATGGCTGAAGTAAAAGGTGAAAAGATGCATAGTTCAAATTTTAGACTTAAATCCATGCATCCTGAAATGTGTCCTTTATTTTAAAGCCCATTGGATTACCCCCTCAGTGCACTACCTTTTGCACTATGCTGCTCAAACTGTGCAAAGCCAGGACCATTGCACCAAGGAAAATATTATGGGTTTGATTTGGGAATTCTTTTTTTGATTGGCCTTTTTTTTTAATTTTGAAGAAGCTAAATACAAAATGGATTGGACCACTCCGGTGCATGCTGACAATACAAATGGTTTAGGAAACAGTTTAAATATGGGTAGTTTAATCAACTATTATTGATTTAGCTAATACAGAGTWTCTTCTAGTTTAGACAGAAATATCAGATAACCAGATCCCTGAAAGTTAATACCAYCTGTTTTCTTTTATAAATAAAGATTTGAAATAGCTACAGACCAAACAATTAAAAAGATATTTGTATCTGTTTATAGAATGTCAGATATATTACTTTGTCAATATTGCAGTATTTAGCTCTACTTGGCAATGATAATATATTATACATGCTGCAGAAGTCTATGTTAGCACCTTGCAGTGTTTCTTTTAATTTTTTTCATTTAAATTTAGGATTCACTTGATCAAAGACAAAGATGGCTTAGATGATTATTTGGCGAAGAATATCAAAGGAGTGTCAAAAGAAGAAGCTGCTGCGTAAGTTGGCTTTTTTCGAGGCATTGTAACATCCATAAGTTTATTGTTTCCTTTGTTTCCAGTCATCACAGTCATTTAAATTTAAAGTTCCCTAGGCCCTACCCTTTTTAGTGGAACTTGGCATTTAAAAATTGAAGTTGATATTAAATAATGATGGTTCATTTCTCCTGATGTTAAATATATCAAAGCATTTATCTCCTTGGTTTTACTAATTTGTATATTTACCAATTAGGTCAGATKTGTAACATTATTGTAAAGATTGTGTCATTAATTATATTGTGCTGCCTTTTTTCCCCCGGCTTCTCCTTTTTTTTCTGTGCCTTTGTGGAATATCTCCTTTGGGGTGGGAGCTTAGTGTACCGACATACACGTTCTTGTAATTTTGAATTACTATTTAGCCAAACCCAAGTGCTGACTTCTGTGGTGAAGCATTTAATACCCTATTAGTTATTTAAAAACCCAGTGAATGAAAGAAATCTAGATAACTTTCGATTTCTTACAGCTGAGGTATTTACATTTAGAAGTTACAAGAGACTATGACTGACTTATTCTTCTGGAGTCTTTTAACAGATSTGAAGTTCAGCACCATCAAAATTAATGAAAGAATTCTAACAAACTGGATTGCTGGTTGCTTAAGTGAGCTGATTTATTTATTTCAATATTTAAATAATAAAAGGATGCATATACAAGGGCTCTAGGTACCTTAACAATTAATATTGCAAGATCACCCTTCCAGCATAAAAACATTCTATCAGTCAGACAGGAATTTCACCAGCTAGTTTCTTGCAAAACATGCTTCTTTTCTGCTTCTTAGTCTAARAATGTGCCTGCAAACCTTCCCTAGAAACTTAGACATTAAAATCCAGAAAATTACTGGAAGGATCAGACCTCAGGGAGCAAGCACAGAACTAAGTACCTTCCCTTTGTGTCACCCAGGTTCCATGCCAGCTGTGGAACTGGCTGTTCTAGTCATTACGCTCCAACAATTGTCCCAGGCCAAGTTGCCTTCCCAGGGAGCTGTTTCAGTCATCAGCCCCAGCGGACTTACACACACCATGCCAGGGACACAGGCATTCTCTCTGAGGTGATTACACAAGAGATCTGTACTGCTATTTTAGAAAGGCCTTAGGGTTTCAAAGTGCATTTTACAGCTCTGATTTGATCAGATCAGCTTTTTAGTGCTATTAAAAAAATCCCAAAAAACCCACAAACAAACAACAACAACAACAAAATCCTAAAAATTCTCCTATATGATGTTTCTGTATCCAAACCGAGTCTGGACATTGTGGAAAGGAAAAGCAAGGAAATCCACAATGAAGTGAAAATTTTATCATCTGTTCTGCAGTATTTACACAAAGTGAAGTTCACTAACAGTTTTTTAAGAGGCTGCTTTTCCAAAGTTACCAGGACCTCTTAGAAGTCTTAACTGAAATACCATATGTATTCTGGTTTATTTCTATGGAGATTTTTAAAGTRCCTGTTTTAAATGGTTGCATTCATGTTCTGTACATTTAATTCTTCTTGAAATTTTAGCTTTTGATAATAGATCAGCAGTTATTACATTTGTTTCTTTRTATATAATTTACTAATGCTCTTCCATAACCTTATGAATGATAACCATCATTAAATGATAAAATCATTTGAGAGCAAAGAAAAGGTAACAAACTAACCACATAGTAATATTAGTGCTACACTAGTCGAGTTAGAAAAAGCTAAAGGCATCAAATGTAGTCTAAAACCAATTTATAAAGTAAGGAAATGCCATGTCTGTAAATGATCTCTCTGAAATCAGCGTAGTGCTCAGTATGTGCCAGCAACAACAGAAAACGGAAGTTATTATTTTAAAAATATGAGAGATGGTTTGTAATATGCAGTGTARTTTTTCAATATTGTTTCCATTCCAGAAGTAGATTATTCTTTATAAAAGCACTGAATTTCTTTCTTCTGACAACTAAATATCTGTACTTTTTTTAATATGGTTACTTTAATATGCCAGTGATTATTTAATCAAGACAAATTCTTGTAGCCACACTCCTATTTAATACGAAACACCCTTTTTTAAAGTGTATGTTGGGCAAACAACAAATTTCTTGCMTTCTGAATAAAGGAATGTGTAGGTGCTCTCTCATTTATGGAAAAAAAGCAATATTTTTTAAAAYTTTTCCCTAAAATTCTKTCCTTCACAATATTCCTTAAAATTKAGATGAACTATTGAAGRRAAAAGGTTGCAGTTATTCTTGTATTGTAAAATATTGTACTGTGTTCYGAACTTCAGCAAAAGAGAAGAATTTGCTAAAGTGTTCTCATAATCTTTTTTTCTGTGGAAAAGTCAGGAGATGTTTTTCATTTTGTTTCACTGTAATAATTTTTTGTCCCAGGTTGATATGATAGAAGAGGGAGAAAAAACAGTGCTAAAGATAATGATTAAATGGTATTAAAACAGGATATTGCTTTGTTTTTTCATTGATTTTGTTTTTCTGGCTTCCCAAATACTTTGACTTGAAATAAGAAGTAAATGTGGCACAAGGATCTGCAAATGGAAAAAAAGTAGAAGTTCCATTGATGCAGAATGTGAGTGCTTTCTTGCCACGGAATTGGGCTTTTGTAAGACAAGGGTGGCTGACTCCAGTGGCCCTCAGTGTACTTTCCCTGATACTTTCTGTTCTTAGTCCTGACTCACCAAGTCATTAGAGCTCAAAATCAGATTGCAGTAAAAATTAAAAATAGTTCTTATGACAGAGCTAGGAGTCAAAAAAGTTCACAATGAACTGTGAAGTAAAGCATTTTTTATCAAAAGATGGATTCCAGGATTGACTCTTAAAATGAGTTTAGAGCCTAAAATGGGCCAGAATTTGATACTGTTGTTCTTGTTTCCTGATCTTTTTGTCAGGGCCAGAAAGATCAATAAACAGTTCTCTCCTCTTCATACAAATAAAAATTGTCCAAGAGGATCATGTCATCAAAAAAAAAAAGCTGAAGACTAGAAAGAGAGCCTTTGGAATGTATTTGATGAGAGGAACAGCTTTGCTTAGCTGTAAACAGAAAAAGAATATTAGCAATATTAGTGATATTGCTACATGTATTTTAAATACATTTGAGTTGAATGATGGAGTTCTACTGTCCTCAAGACTCTGGTGGTCAAATGCAATCCAAATTATTATACAGAGATGGTTAAGGCTAACCTAGGTATACAGAAAATTTGTATTTGTGTTAAATGTCTCATGAGCAGTGGATCAGTGTGTTATGGAAAGCTTGCCTTGATAAATCAGTGTCAGTAAAGACAAGCTCCGATATGACTCCTTTCAGGCAGGAGATGAGATTATCTCACACACATTCTGTCAAATGTTTTTGAGATAAAGTGGGCTGTTTTGCTTAGAATTCTCCCATGGCTGGTCCACTTTAAGGTTAGCTGGAGCAGAAAAAGGCAAAGGCTTTTATTTTCAGGTGGGCTGTGTCTCCCAGAGCAGTTATTGGCCATCTCTGCCAATACTGGGAAGATGGATCATTAAACTACTTTGCAGATTGTAGACTGCAAAGCGCAACATAATATATCTGCTCTAGCAGTGATGACTGATGAATATAGTAAAGTATAGCTCTTKTGAGTGCCCTGCAAAAAGAGAAAGGGGCTTTCACTCAGGTTTAACTGATCCACGTTAATAATCCCATATAATCTATGTAAATAATTAAGAGAAAGTAGTGTGATTAGTTGAGCCCATCCTTCAGGATTCACACAAGTGCTTTAGAATATGGTGAGTACTTTTGAAGCACCTATTTCTTTCCATTGCTTATGGAGAGATCACAGGATGAATGAGCTCAGATGTATACATGTACATTTTACCACTCAGTCTCACACTGGAGGGCTATAGAGTTGTGAAAGCTGTAGAAAGAATGAAGTAGAGGTCTTAGAGACTGATTCATGAGGCAATATTTTGGCAGGAAGCTGTCGAGTTTAGAACAGAAATCACCTGGCATCCATTTTAAATCTTCCGTTGATGCCACCTGATAAAAGCTTATTTTTCTATTCTTCGGTCAGAGACAAATTATTTACTACTCTCTCCACTCCCCAAGTTTCTTCTCTTTTCAGAGAAGAAGCTAGATGTATGATGAACATTTTGTATGATGAACATTTTTTTTTTCAGCATCATCTAGCTAGAGTTAAGAAAAAAAGATGTGGGAAAATTTATGAGGGATTAAGTGCTAGATGAGTTTGTGGACACAAATTATTTTTTTCCTACATCCATATGTCTTCTACCAGTTGATCTCTGAGTATTTGACCCTATCTGTCCTCGAGGACTAAAGATGGAAAAACTTCCTCACCTGATTAGAGGCCAGAATGATCTGGAAAGTTCACTGAGAGAGAAAAATGGGATTTATGGTCTGATGGAGAGAAGACCTAGTATAAAGAGTGTTTTGTTCTGTATTTTCATCCTAGCCATGATGGAGTAATAAGTCCTACTATTAGACTGGTCTTCTTTTCACCTTCTTGTCTTTTTAAAAGTTATTTAAATTATGAGACTTTCAGTACTCAGGTTTTTTTTTATTTATTTGCTTCCTATCTGTCTGCATTCTGGTCTTTTGCATTGATGGACCAGTTCTTTAAGGAAGCTGAACACAAATAGCTGGCTGGGGATTTGATACTTTTTAGTAGCTGTCACCTCTACCACATAAATTAGTATGGTGACTTCCTGGTTGACCTGTGAAATCTTTCACTTAAAAAATAGGTTGAGACCTATTTTCACTGACATCATATTGCCATGTTTTCTTTTTCACRACCAGAAATTTGAAAGGGCTTAATTTAAGTGTGGGGATTTTGTGTTGTTAAGTGGATTTGACCATTTCTGTGTTATTAAGTGAGGCTCTTGAGGGACAGAAGAGGGGCATTGCCAAGAAAAAGGATAAGGAGAAATATCTTGTTGGTATGGGATTGAGACAAGGCAAGAGGAGGTGCAGCCGCTATTACTAGTAAGCTTGGAAAAGGAAATTTGGGATGCAGACAGACA